CTTACCGCGTCTACATGTACGTTAATGCGCTTTAACTATTTGCGCCTAAATTTCATACCTGCAAATGCAAATAATCTAAATTTGTCATTTTGAATGCGTGTTAAGGGTGCGCACATGTAGATGCACACCTTAATGTGCATTAACTTAAGCTAATGCGCACTCAAGCGTCACATGTAGGTGCATCCACTGAGTCATACAACCAAAAAATATTGGACTTTTTTTTCTTATTTCTGGATCTTTTGGGCTTTCTTCCTTCACATTTTTAAGCCTACTCCACAATTTTGCAAGCTAAAATTTTTAAATGTAGAAAGAGGCTGAGTTTCACATGCAATTGCTTGATTTCAGCCATGAGACATCCAGAGAAACAACCAATATTATGAGGCTTACGTTAAAATTACAAGACTTGACAATACTGCATAACCAATGTTGAGTATATCCCGAATGAGAGCTCCAATACTTTCAGTGTTGCTGTATGTTCGACAAAACCACAGAGCATGAGCTGGTATTTATAGATGAGAAGGAACTGGAGCTTCTTCCTTTATTTTCACAGTGACTTCACATTTTAACTAGATCTGCAGTTTGTGCACATTGTACTTTCCAGTGCCAAATCACCATCAACAAAAGTGAAAAATACAGCTTCTAAAATGCTGCTCTGACATTTTTCCTGGCATGTTAAAAGTGCAATAAAAATGTGATTATAACTGATCCTGGGCAAGAGTCCATGGTCCATCTAAATCAGCTGTGTTCAAAGTTATCTTACTGGCTGCTGAGCAGAAAACAAATCTAACCCAGTTCACAAGGCTTTAAGCTCCATTTGAAAGTAGCTTGATTCTGCAGCCAGAGGTCTACAGAAGCCTAGGCAGCCCATTAGGTTACTGTGGTTAACACAGGGGTTGGCAAGATTCAGCCTACGGGTCAAATTCAGCCCACCAGGCCATTCTATCTGGCCACAGGGCCCCTCCAAAACACAGTTACTACCAGCCCACGGCTGCCCCTCCAAAAGCCAGTCAGAGGCAAGCTTTCAGAGGCTGTGCGCCATCAGGCTGGGTGGGCTCTGTGCTTCCACCTTTGTGGGGCTCTCAGCACTCCAGCTGGGAGCCCCATGTGGAAGCACAAAGCGTGACGGTGCGCGACTGGACAGCTGGTGAATGGAGAGGGAAGGTCCTGCCTGCAGAAGGGGGAGGGTGGGAGTGGGTGGGTGTGGGGTTTGTGGGTGCTCCCCCCACCATAGTTCACAGACCCCCCCCCCACCATATTCCACGCCCCCTGCCACTGGTGGCAGCAGCAGCAGACCATGGACCTTCAGGGTGCTCATGGCCCACGGCAGGCAAAGCCCCCCAGCAGCGTGCAGCTCCAGCTGGATCCTGGGAGCTGCACATGCCAGCACCGAGCCCGCCCAGACTGACCCACTGGAGTGAGCCTTCAATCCAGAACAGGCTGGTCCTGTGCCAGCACGCGGGGCTCCTGGCACTGCAGGCGGGAGCCTTGTGCCATCAGGCCAAGCTGGGCCAGCTCCATGGCTCCACATGGGGCTTCCAGCATTCCAGTAGGGAACCACACGTGGAGGAGGCACAGAGCTGGCCCTGCTTGGCTCGATGGCGCATGGCTCCCACCTCCAGTGCCAGGAGCCCCATGTGCTGGCAGCCAGGAACCAGCCTGGTTTGGCTTGAAAGCACATGCCAGCAGGCCAGGCCAGGTGGGCTCCATGCTGCCATGCACAGCTCCCGGGTTTCAGCCAAAGCTGTGTACCGCCAGAGGTCTCTGCCCGCATACACAAGCACACACTCCACACCCATCCCCCCAACCATACCCCACACAATATACAAGAATAAGACTTTATTTTGAGCTATTATGCAATCACCTCTATATACACTATACAAACACAAGTAAATCTGGACACAAGTATTGTTTGAAATAAAATTAAAATAAGTTATAGTAGATGTTTGATTTCTAGCATATTAATTTTTTTCTGGTTCTAAGATGGCAAACCCCCCTCCCAAAAGGAGTACTTCCAGGGTAAGAGGAGGAACATCCAGTGGCAAAGGTCCAGGGTTAGAAGTGGGACTTCTGGTCCCAAGATGGTGATCAGGGGACGGGGTACCTGTCAAGGGGTGGGTCTACTGTTGTGGCCCTCGAAAGCTTACCAAAAGCCATGAGGTGGCCCTCCAACTGAAATAATTGCCCACCCCTGGGTTAACATATGCCACTTGCTATAGTTAACGGTGCACAAGGGAGTGAGATGGCTAGCACCTCCTATGGCCACATTCAACCCTCCTGCCCAAAGGATCAGATACTCACTTACAGCAGGGTCCAAGAGAGGTGACCTTTGAAATGAGGCCAGAGTAGCGTTTCCCAACTTTTTGATACCTGGGGCACGCTGTTTTTCTGGATTAAAATTGGTGGAACACTTCACTCTTACACCCTACTAAAAGGTGTATATGACATGCACAATGGTGCCCAACTTTTGGGCATGATGAACAATGCTGAGTAGGTCTGCTGGCCAGATCCAGTCCATGGGCCTGATCTCACCACATGGGATTGGCATGGCTGAAGTCCAATCCTGCTTCATGAGACCTATGGGGAACCCCGAGGACCAGATCTGATACTGAGAAAGTATAATTTTTCATGAAATGCAAAACTCTAGAACTCTTGGTTCAGAGAGGATACCTTTTATTAGACCAACTAAGAAATCGCAAAAAAAATTATCTTTTTCTGCAAGCTTTTGGGCACACATTTTTCATGGCACATGTCTGCTGCTCTCATGGCACGCTAGTATGCCACGGCATACACTTGGGGGAAATCATCAGGCTACAGCAAGGCTCAAATTCACATATCTGAATTTGTAGCAAGCCACTTTAATCCCGGTACCACAGCAACCCTAAAAAAGGTCTGTTTTGGTCTAGTTCTTGCTAAGTGACTACGTGAATGTGTCACCTTCTTAGTCAACAGGTCTGCTCCCTGCGTGTATTTAGGATTCAACCTGCCTGTTGTTTGTGTGTGCACACACGCACATACGTAAATAGTGTAATTTTTCTATATTTTACTCCCATCAGGTCTTCATAACCGTCATTGCTGAGGGAGAGAAGGAGACAGAGTTCTGTCACTAGCACCACCCAAACGGACGGGAATCTTTCCATTTCCGTCATTGAGCCTATGGTCTACTCACAGGGTGGCCTGCAAAGCCCTCACGACAGTCAAATTATGCCCCAAATTATACCCATGCAATTCTGGCAAAGGTAAGAAATCCAGGCCTTCTGTACCATTGAAACAACATGTCAAAGGGAGGCACGGTGAGTATCCCTTTCAGTACTTTCTAACATTGTAGACCGCAGTGTCCACTCGTTCAAAAGAAAATACAGAATGGTGCCTCGGAACAGCAAGATTGCTTATGAAACAAAATGGCTGGTATATATATATATAAAATTTATTTTTTTATGTTTGCAAACAAATATTGCATGGCAGGTCAAATGTGTCTGTAGCACTCACAGCACACCCAGGTATTTATACCAGCTGGTAAAAAATAGCATAACTCAAGGACTTTGATGAACAGTCATCAAAATATCTGATAAAGATCAACCCTTGCCTCAAACCAAAAAAAAAAAAAACCCTAACAGCTAGTTAGAGAGTAGGAGTTTCCTGACAGATCAAAAGGGTGCTGCTCAGAAAGCGTTTGATGCTAACTGACTCTGTGCAGACTAAAAAAAAATGCTTCCATAAGACTAAAGAAACCTCATTAACACTATTGCTAGTTAGCTATATACATTTGGAGAAGGACCTGATGAAAAGGAGAGAGAAATTAAAAAAAACCCAGGAACATCTCTTCAGGAGCCGGTAATGAAAATATCCTTCCTCCTTACTGGAAAATGTGTTTATATTGTATTGTGTCTCCAAATCATGACTAAGAGAGAAATACACTTCCCAGTATCATTTAAAGGAGCTGTTTTTTAGTTGATTAAAATGGTTTACCGTCACATTTATAAATATTAGCCGGTGGCAAATGCCAGTACCAAACTTTCCCTGGCAATAGGCAAAACTATGCTATCCTTTCCTACAAAATGTAAATACATAGAAAAGCAGCCAAGAAACTGGGAAGACACAGAAACAGTGTAGCTCCCTTCAACATCCTAGGGCATCCAAGGTGCTGGGGAAAACATTCAAAAAGCTCGAAGGCTTCAGATATCCTCAAAGGGCTGACACAAGAGCAGGAACTAAGGACAGCACATTGAGAGGAATCCCAACCCCCTCCTCTTCTCAACCTTAGAAGCTGCTGGCTACTTACCAGGACATTGCCCTTGACTCTCATAGCTTGTGGCTGAGAAATGAGTCGTTGGGCCGTTGGGCGGATGTTACATTTTTTCAGCACACCTGTACTGTGCCTCTTGGCGAGCAGAAAAGCTGTTCTTAAAAGAGCTATTCAAGCTACAAATGTCTCCAAAGCCATCGTGGCCTTCAGCTTTGAGCACTTTTTTCTTTTTTGGGGGCAGAGATGTTAAGGCAGATATTCCACTCCTCTTCAGAAGCAGACCTGCTTAACTTTTTTTTTTAATCATAGGTATTTATTTAGAAAGAAAAAGGAAGATTTTTCAGAAATGTTTAGATTCAACGATTACTGTTAATGCTGGGCTTGCTACAGTGCTCTCACAGGAAGGGTAGTAAGTAATAGAGAAACCACAGCATTTGCAAGCGTGAACCGACAGCAGAAACTAGCAAAGGAAAAGAAGTTGTCTCAGGGCTCTACTGTTGGCCAACTTACTTTAAGTCCAAATTTTTACTTGTTTATTATGAAGAGGCAGATAAGTGCTGTCATTGCAGTCTTCCAGTTCAGCACGCTGAACTTCACTGAAACACCCAAGAGATTCTGTAAATCTTAAACCTTCACTTGAAGCAGAAAGAGAGAGAGATAGAGAGACAGAGAGGAATTAAGCAAACCACATCACAAAATTATCCCTCTGCTGACACTTTTTGGCAAGAGATGTTATCTCACCCTTTGTACTGTCTGCTGTCAATACTGTCCTGGGAGAGTTGAAGAGACAGGAAAACCTGCTGCTTGTTGGGTTTGCATCCGCTTTTCAGAAGTTCTGCTTGAGCAGGCGCCTCTCCTGCCTGATAAGATCTCACCGAGTGCTTATCTGATAAGTGGCAGCTGCTGCCGACTTACGTTTAATTGACAATTTCTTGTCAACTAAACTGAAGTGCATTATCAGAAAACTCTTGGGACTTTCATTCACAATTTAACACACTGACCCGGACTCTGAGCTTGCTGGTGGAATGCATTTGTTTAGCAGCTGCAAATCCGCAAAGCCAAGCAATCGCCTCCTCATTAACTGAGTTCAAAATTATTAATCCACCTCTTTGTTTGTAGACAGGGCACTCCTTGGTGATGTGTAGCATTGTTTGCATCTCTCCACAAGTTCATGATGAGTTGGCACGGAGGCGCCAGCTGTGAAGGTTGGCTGTGCAGAGGCCTTGGCCTGTCCTGAACCTGTTTAGCAGCGACCACTCTCACGGAGAATACCACTGACCCTAGAGGATATCCCACCTCTCTCTCTCTACTTCAATGAGTACCTCTAATTTCTGCGGGTTTTTTTGCATTATGTTTATTATTATTTTTAAGAACCCCAAATTATAAAGAAAATAGAGGAGAAATCTTGAATTAAAAATTACATCACTATGAAACCATTTTTGGTTTGGTGTGACTCATAACACCTCACTTAAAAATATATCCTGCTGTCACATTAAATTCAGTGGCAAAGACATGGGAACCATAACCCAGGCTAACATTTTGGAAAGAGAAGAACCACGTGTTGCATTTTTACAGTCAGCCTTAGACTGTCTTATGCTAAAAACAGTCTCATGAGGATGGAAGAACTCTGAGAAATATATACAAAGTGGAAACTTGAGATTTTCATTTTATTGAAGGATGCCAACTGAAGGAAAACATCCTTGTTCCCCGAACAGCAGGCAAAGACATTAACACCTGAGATTCTATTTAACCCTTTTTATGGCTGTTTCACTTCTGTACCTTAACTGAATGTGGTAGGACATTTTAGTACATTCTTCACATACTGGGATGTCTGCAGTAAAATGGAAGCAAGCTTACAGAATAAGGCAGCCCTAGAACTGCATTTTGCAATGGCCAATATATTAAGCAATACCCAAGGGGTTACAAGCAAGAAGTCAGTGATCCGGGACTCCATTTCTTCATAGTTAAAAATACAAGTGCATATTTCTCTAGTGTGTATTACAGCCTGGCACCCAGCAACCACACCACCCAACTTATCAATGCAAATAAACAAGAGCCTTTATCAAACCAGAACTGCGTCCAACAGAATTTCTCTAAACATGTACATATGACAAATCTGTGCTCACAGGGCTCTGAAACAGAGCCAAAATAAGTCTCTGTCTCCTCCCTGCATGCACTGAGGAGCTTTAACCCTCCAAGGAGAGAAAACTAGCTGAGAGAATCTCTGCTTTTCTATGAAATGCATGGACTGTTATTGTCTCTGGCCTCCCTGCAAAGTCAGCATGGAAGGGGACTCTCCTAACCTACCTACATACGTGACAGCCACAACCCAGACCCCAGTGTCTGTATTAACACCAGGCTCAAGTCATTCCAACCTCAGGTCCACTGCACTGAGCTGACGCTATCTAAGACGAAGAGGAACCACACAGAAATTTACAGAAGAATCTAATCTTCCTCGCAGTTCAAAGGGATTTGGAATATGCCATCCTCCTAATTTCAGCACTGATCTGAAGATGTAAATGACTGCAATATCATTCTCATGAAATTCATTTCCTCTAACTCCTGCCCAGCTGGTAAGTTTCTGTCTGCTTAAGACCTCGTGATCTACTGTTATTCAGGAACTTTGCCACATTACATTGCATTTACCGGTCACATTTTACTCAGCTGTCTTCTCCAATTGAGGTTGTCAAGCAGACGATTATAAACAGGAACTAAGTCCTATAGGTAACATTGTCTACGCACTTAAAACCACAGTGAAGTCACTCAGCATTGACATGAGAACCTGTTGTTAGGTTCAGAGATGCAGGTGGCTCATGAGCAGAATCTGCTGCAAGAAGAGCAAATTCAGAGTTTTATTTAAAATACATTGTCCAGAATTTGGAGAACAAAGATAGCTGGGACTAAATCTACCTTTCAAGTGGTAGGAAATCTCTCTGAAATCAATGATAAGATAATTATTTCAATTGACATAAGATCAGAATATTAATTCTTCCAAGTCACTTTTCTGCAAACTGTGCTCAAAGATTATGGGTCCATTGGACAAACTGTTCATCTGCCTGGGTAAAATTTTCCCACTGGCTGTAACAAGGCCTATAATTTACTTAAGTGAAGTCACGTGCTGGTCCTGTGCAGAGGGGTGATTTTCACCACAGAAGCAAGAAGCTTTGCATATTCACGTTCCACCGACTTAAAAACCACAATTTTCCCTGTAGCACTCTTCCATCTCCCCCCACCCAGAAAAGATCCAAAAATAAAAACTCTGTAGTTCTTCCTTATGGGTATGGATTTTCTTTTTAGGGTAGCACGTCATACTGCCACCCATCAACGTATCTAAATACAAATTCCCTGAATAAACTGAGAAAGCAGAAGATTTTATAGTGTATTTATAAAGTGCAAAAACAGCACTGCAGTAACTAAACATATCTGGCCCACACAAATTCTTGAAGAACCAGGGTCAGACACAGATCTCTGTCACCCATGTTAAGCGCAAGTAAGCTCGACTGGAGTTTTTCTGAATTTCCATTGCCATAAAGATGAGAATCTGGTCAACAATACTTCGTAAACCCTATAATCCTGCTTTTCTTCACTATCCTAGTTCACACTGCCAAACCAGAATTTAGCCTACACCAAATGCAGAGATTGATGCTTGTGAGGGCTGAGTCATCAGTAGGTTTCTGCTTTGTAACGGACAGCTATTTTTAATTTATTTTTGTTCCATCTTTAAATGCAATGCTTCAGCAATATGCTGAAGGTGAGATTTTAGTCATATATGCTGTTGTTCATTATCTATAACCTTGCACCATAACTCGTGATGAACCAAAACGAACTGGAAACTGGAGGCCCCTTTAAACATAAAAAATAAAGATCGTACAAGAATGTGCAAACACATCAGGTTAATGTGATGTGTTATATTGAATTTCTCATAATGGTGATTAAGAGGTGCTATGAACTAGCATTTTCTTTCTCTTTATTCTGTCACCAAAACTTCAGCTGCTCCCTGACAAAGCGTTATCTTTCCATCCAATTATACAACATTCAGTTGCACTCAAAACATTGATTTAAATCTAACTTCCCTGCTTTCTGATATATATCAGAATTAAGCCTGTGGTTTAAATCATCCATTTCATTTTTCAGTTGTACTTTTTAGTTATTTTCCTAAAGATAGGTTGATTCTCATAGGTTGATAATAAAAGAATGCTGATTTTTAACTAAAGCTATCACCTTCAGCGTAGTCTCCTTCTTTTTGCTAATCACACAAACACCATTTATCTAGTTACATTTATGTAAGCAATTATACAATGTAACATACATTTTACTGATTCTTAATGTTTACATTTTTATTGTCAGAAAATGATGAATAATATGTTCTAAGTGATGATTAATTTTTTACTTGCAGTTTGCATCAAGCTCTATTTTGATGGAAAGTGGAATTGGATTAAGAAAGCACCAAATCAGCATTTACATTTTTTCTCAGTTAAAACTATGTTGTATGTGCTGGATACCTACAGAAAAGGTAACTGTTGCAAAATGTTTTTTGCATTTTAAATTCATTGATCACCAAGTTCTTCAAGGTTTCAGAACTACAAAATCCTGTCCTCTCATGTCATGCTTTTATTCATAGTTTGGAATAGAAAATAGAGGCTTTCCTGATTTTTTCAACTCATAATCAGTTTCTCAACTTTGAAAGAAACAGTCATTGAGGAACTTAACTAGCTGACTACGCTATACTGAACAAGATATTCTCTCTGAACCTGCAGAAGGAGCTTACTGCTGTCAAAAGCTGGTTGAACACTTAACCAAACTCTGGTTCCAGAAGCTTCACAAATTACTTCCACCAGGATGTCATTTCAAGAATTTCACTTTCTTTAAACTAAAGTAAAAATTAAGACATAAGTATTTGATTTTTTTAATGAGTTTAGTAGATTATAGTAACTGTATGCATTCATATAGGTTGTCATAAATATAAATTATAAATAAGTTGCTTATATAAAATTAAAGCGTGTATTTAATTTACATTTAAAAATCCCATTACAAATAAAAGTTAATTGAAATAAAATATCTGGCACTTTTTAAGTTTGATTTTGTTATCTGTGTTGGCTTCACTGAATATTATTTAATATTTTACACTAATAAAGTGCCTGAGGGCCAAAATCAACATCTGGGAACCGAGGAACAGGCCTCTGTCCAAACATATACAAGCAAGACATGGTCCATAAATCTTAAAAGTCTAACTCCGGGTCTTGGAAGCACACATATATATATATAGTCACCATTTTGTGAGAGGGGAGGGAAAAGAGAATATTAAGACAAGTAGCCAACAGGCTTCAGGGGCATGGTGAAGCTGACAAAAAAAATAGCCAGGGAATGGGCAGGAGAATTGGTCCTAGTGGAAAGACCAAGAATGTAGGGGTAGCTGCGTTCAGCTTAAATGGATGGCGATACATCTGAGAAACAGGTTGAGATGCAATATGGGATGGACAGGGACAAGGAATGGAGAAGCTGTGAACCATCTCACAGCATAAAGATGGCAGACCAAACCAAGTGGAAGAGATCACCCAGAGAGAGGGCATGGAGAGATGAGATATTATTGGTATAAAAAGGGAAAATATCCACAAAGTCTTTTTTCAACATAACATTTAAGGAATTCAGAATTCCCCGGCTCTCAACAGCTGGCACATTTTACTCTATAGGGTCATATAAGACTATAGGGAGATTTTCTCCCTTTTGTTTATGTTCCTGATATATATTTACATCTGCAAATCCAAATGAATATAGTTTGTGAGACTCGCACCCAGCCTGTTAATCCCTGTGTTTGGCCCAGCTAGCTTCTTTTACGTTCTGTATTGCAAAACCATGACCTTTCTGAATAACACAGCACTCCATAAAAAGCCAAAAAAGTAACAGAAGAAAAGCAGAGCCAAAACCAAACTCCAGATCCAAATGCTTCCATCCAACTGGAAGTTGGATCTGAATTCTGCAGGTGCTTCTTAACTGAGCTTGCATCAAAGTACTCCTGATTCTGGGGGTAACCGGAGGTTAACTTCACACCTGGCAACATGAGACCATTTCTAGAGAGTCCAGGTAACAGCATGGCACGCTCATCAGTCCCCATGCCTGCCAGAAGGAAAAATGCCTTCAGGCCACACAAATCTACACCGTTCAAGTGATTGAATTTGATTGTGATTGTTCAAGTGATTGTATTTTGAAAACATTTTTCCTGGGATGGTTTTACCTTCCTCACCAGTGGCTGTTGGGTTACCAAGGCACTGTGGCAGCTACAGACAAACGCACACACGTGCAACACAACTGCTTTCACTAATGCACTGAAACCCGTTGGACACTTTGTCCAGCCCAGCACCAGGCAAAACCTCACTCAGGAACCACCAAAACTTGCTGAATGGACGGAAGAGAGAGAAACTGGAGACCTCCTGTCTGCACACACAGACTGCAAAGAGGAGCTTTAGAAGTGGAATATATTTAACCCCATGACTGCCTAAACCATTTCTATTAAAACCACCAAATATCCTGAGTGACTGAAACGGCAAGAATTACACCCAGTTCCTGTGGGTAACATGCACACTTTAACCAGATCAAAATCTTGAAAGCAACCCCGGTTGAATGAGAAAAACAAGAAAAACTGTGTCACTTGTAATAACCATTTTTCTTTCCTGCTTCCTTCACTACAGACAGCAAATACAAGGCCAAGCTTTCCTCAGGCTGACTTTAAGTTTGGTCTGAAGCTGTCATTTGCTTGCACAAGCAAGCATGAATTTTCTTTTCTAGTCTTTCCCCCCTTCCCCACTTCACTGCAGCAAGAAAACCTAACCTTTTTAGGCTCTGTTCACCCCCACCCTTACATTTCAGCTACCCCCTCATAAAAAAAAGACAAGGTGTCCAGCAGAAAATAAAGACAAGCTGTTAAGCTCTAGCCCTGCCAGCCTTCACTGCACCTCTCCTCTCAGCCCAGCCCCCTGCCAGCAAGGACCACTGGGAATAAAGGGTCGCGCCTCAATGCGTCACAGCCTCTCAGGTAAGAGGCCCCAGGGACGCAGACTGTAGCCACAGGCAAAAGGAATCCCAACTCGTGGCAGAGGTGAGCTCTTTTATTAGATCAATTAGATATATGCACACACACAAAAAAAGGATTTTGTATGTGTGTGTGCAAATATCCAGTTGGTCTAGTTCTGATTCCAGGGTATTCAGGGGATCTTTCCCAGTGCCAATGGCACGGTGAGGGCTAATCACAGGACTCCTTTTCCCCAAAGGGGGATGGTTTCAGTAGTGGCTTGAGGGGGCAAGCCAGGTAACCGCCACACTTTAGGGGGCCCCAATTTTATTTGGGGGGGGGGAAGTTTACACTTTATTTATCTCATAGATTTCATAGACGTTAGGGCTGGAAGGGACCTCAGCAGACCATCGAGTCCAGCCCCCTGCCCCCGGGGCAGGAAGTCATCTAGGCTCAAAGGATCCCAGCGAGACATGCATCCAAACGTTTCTTAAAAGTGTCCAGAGTAGGTGCCTGCACCACCGGGGGGGGGTCCAGGCCTCGGGAGCGCGGACAGTAAAGAAGTTCTTCCTTATGTGCAGCCCCAAATAGTCTTGGGGGGGGGACCTCGTCATCCCTTGGGGCGCTCTGGTGAACAGGCGTTCCCCTACATCCTGGTGTACACCCCACATATACATATAAAATACACACACACATATATATATAAAAAATACATATATACACATATATTATACACACACACAAATACACTACACGCACACATATATTACACCCGCATACATACACACACGTGTATATTATACACACACATATTATACACACCCCTACATATATATTGCACACACACATACATTACACACATACACACATATTATACACACACATATATATTATACACATACACGTACATATATATCGCATGCACACACATATATATTACACACACATTATACACAGACATATATATTACACACATTATACACACATATATTCTACACACACACATACTATATATTGCACGCGCGCGCACACACATTATACACACATATTATACACACACATATATATTATACACACGTTATACACACATATTATACACACGCACATATATATTATACACACACATTATACACACATATTATACACACACACATATATATTATACACATT